ACAAACGCGTAGCGTAACGTTTGTTTCCCACCTTTGCCCTTTTATTTTAACGATATTTTAAAAAACGCGACTACGCGTTTAATTGACAAAATTCCGACAAAATACGCTCCACTCTTCTTACTTTATCTTCCTTCCAAAGTTTTTTCCTCTCTCTTTCCCTCTCTCTCTCTCTCTCTCTCGTCTAGAATGTTCTAAAACTCTCTCGTTTCTCGAATAAGGATCATAATGAGAATGAGAAAAGAATGCAATTATAGATTACTCGTAGCACGTAAATGTCTCGAGAGTATATTCGCCCTCCTCTATTTTTTCGCGATAGTAAACGCGCAATTATGCCGCATACTTTTCCCGCACGTTGTGTCACATTTACATGAAACGACACTGCTCGAAGGGAAAACTGTTTTAAGAGGGACTCCCTCTCCACCTCTTTGTATTTTTCTATATATTTATATTCTTTTATCGTTTCTCCCTCTTTTTTTTTTATTTTTTTTTTTCTTTACGAGGCGCCTCGACATATTTTTCTTGCTTCTTTTCAAACGATATCGCAGAAAACGGGTTTGCCATCGAGTGTAAAAAGGTTTTCATATTAAACAGGGGTGTCCAAGGATTTTTGATTAGCATACAACAATGGCTTTTAAGAACGGTTGAATAGATACGAGGTTCTAGATTTTTTTTTCGAGAGAATATTTAAAACGCATGCGAAACGTACGTAGGAAGAAGAAACTTTTTTTTTTCCCTCCCTGGACGAACAATCGACGAATTTAATGGACGAATTGACGAAGCTCAAAGGTGAGCGTATATTTTATATACGCGCCAATCTAATATTCACCGATTTCGCCGGTGTACACGTGAGAATACAGGCTACTCTCTCGATGCCCCGTCCTCTTTTATACCTCTCTTTCGTCGAAACGAAAACCCTATCGGGCTGGAACTCCTGTCACGTCCCATTTTAGCGATCGTGAATCGTAACAAAATAAATGATCACGGCACAAAACCGGGCCGCAGCCCTCGGTTTTTCCTCCCCTTTTCATCGATTACCACCGCCGGCCTGGTTCGCGGGCCGATTCCGAATCAGCCGATCAAATCGATAACTTAACCTTCTGTCTCGCGCACAGAATCGAATCGATCGTCGGGAAAGGGAGACCGGGCCCTCCACCTTGGCCGATCCTTCTTTTCGCCGGAAAAACAAGGCAAAACAAGGGCGGAGCGATGCCTCCCTGCCCAATCGAGTCCGAGTTATCGCCGATAAAATCGCCTGGCTTCCCGTGTTCATCGATTGTTCGATTTTCATAAACAAGCGAGGCGCAAGGATGCGATGGAATTAGACCGGCTCGCTTTCAAACTTTACCAACCCCGGAAACGTTTTAATACCTATCGGGAACTTTGGCCAATGTGTGTTCCTTTCGGTGTATCCTCGTATGCTTAATGTAAGTTACACGATATAAACTCGAAGGTATCGATCGAGTTGGTATTTATGAAGTTGGTCCGGCCTCTAGACCAGCAAAATAGAACTTATTGATTTTTCCTACAGATTATAGATACGATAGTTGTGCGTGTGTACGGGCTACAAGTGTCCGAAAATTTAAGGATTTAGCGCGTATTAAAATTAGATGAAATTTAAACCCCTATAATTCCGAAGATAATTACTTTCGGCCAATGAACGAAGGATCGTTAGAAACACGGAATCTTTCTCTTTAAAAGGCTTCTTGATTTATCCTAATACGACTTCCGGTTTTCGAGATACGATCATTTAAAGAAAAGATAATTTTTAATCGTTCACCTTTGATGCGATCAAATCCTATTAAAATTAGGAAAACTTTAATTCACTATAACTCCGAAGATAATGATTCGCGGTCAACGAATGAAAGATCGTTGGAAACACGGAATCTTTCTCTTTAAAAGGCTTTTTGATTTATCCTAATACGAC